TATGCTGCAAAAAAAAAAAAAAAAAAAAGAAAACCCTTGCAGTTTTCCTGTTTAACTGATCATAGAACTATCATTTGCATTTTGAATTTAGAAAAAAGGAACAAGAAACTGGTTTTGTTAACTTAGATTCTATTAATATTTAAGATGTCTTTGTGTTCTCTCTCTCTCATTTGGGTCTATCCACTCAACCCTGTAGGGTGTATCTATTTATTCCAACATAGTTGATATTTGTTAAAAACACAAGAAAAACAAGTCTGTCCCATCTAGGTGGGTTTAGTTTCATGGATCACATTGTCAATGTGTCGTTTTTCTATCACCAACTCACTCTTTAAAAAATCAGGATCTATCAACAATAATGATATTTGTTTAAGTAAAGTAAGAAAATCAGGTTCAAAGTAATTGTGGTTGTCGTTAGAAGTAGCTCTCAATAGAAAATGGCCAGTTTTTGGCACCTAGCTCTAGATCAATCATGTTAATCCTCATGAAGGTTTTCTGGATGAAGCCAAACTTTATCTCATTAGGTGGGGGTAAGCTACATGGATACTATTATACTCTCTCAACAACCAACTCTTTCAAGAAAATTTATTAAGAGATCCAATTTGATAATTTCTTAGTCGTTCTTTGTCTCCCTCTACCCCTCTATATAGGACTCAAGACCATCTGCTCAACTTTTCTCATTGGCGCCTTTATTAGCCTTTTTTTGAACATGTTCAAACCACCTCAAATGATTTTATATACCATTTTCCCCCTAATAGATGCCATGCCATCTTTTTCTTGTATGTATTCATGACAACATGTCTTTTCTTGTACGGTTCCACATACGTCCCAACATTTTTATCTCTGCTACCTCAACTTTTTGTTTTTGTAATCTATTCAATCTCCAGTGTTCACTATTATATGACATTGCTAGTCTTAAAATTATTTGGCAAAAGCTTCTTTTAAGCTTAGTAGGCACCTTATGGTCACAAATGACTCTTGATGCCACCAACTCATTTCTCTTAGAGGGAAGCAATTCAACCCATCAAAGTAGCCAACTTCTTTGTTTCTAAAAGATACTAATTAGAAGTTACTGTGTTTGACCGTACCAAAAGTGGCTTGTGTATCATTTTGGTTGGCTGAAAGTGAAAAATTTGATGGATATTTTGAGTTGCAATCAACATAGAATTTGGCAGCCTCCTATTTGAAATAATTTGGTATGCCCTGAATTTTATTTTATTTTTTTGTGAGAAGATATGCCCTGGAATTGATGATTGGGAGGCTATGATAGTCTTGTGGGATTGAAGGAGAGTTTGATGGAAATTGGAATTGGAGGTTGCATAAGGTGAACATTTTTTGTTAGTTTTCATCACAACTGGCAAAGTTAATAATAAAAGTAAAGATAAATAAGCTCCCCTTTGTGGAGATGGGAAAAAAACCTTGGTACTTCAGTTATCTTTATAGATAATATTCCATATCTGTATGTGTTGCTCGGTGTGTCCTGCTGCAATTAGGCCAATCAATTACTAAAAGAAAATGGTGGTAGCTAGTAGCAATTACTTATTGCTGAACTGGTGGTCTTTATCCGGAAAAAGGGCCCTAGTGTCGGCATGTTGTTTATTTTGAGATGACACCATAAATGAAATGTTCTCAAAGCAGTTTAAGCTAATTATAGAATTGCTTTCTAATTTTTAATATGTTTTTGGTTATGTTGTTGCAGAACTTCTAATTCGAGGAATAGGTCTGTGGCCAGTGATGGGAATCTTTTGAGGTTTGCATCCATTTGCCTATGTTTTTCTCATTAACTACATTTTAACCACATATTTGCTTAAAAGAGTTTTGTCAATCTCTCTGCTTGAATTCATGGAATTATGTTGAGCATGGGAAGTTTTTGGTAATATTTCAATGTGACTTGGAGTGTCAAACTTGTCTCTAATTTTTGTCTCCAGTATTTTGGATTGGGTGATAATTTTGCTTGAATTGGGCTTCTGAAATCAACATGCTAAATTTAACCAGTATAAAATTGCCTACACAAGTTTCAACACAGTCCAGCATCAAATGATCTGATCTTCTTCAGGTTTCACACATTCCATGGTTGACTGGATATTTTCTCATGTATGTTAGACTTATGGACTAAAGGGGAATTGACATATTCTACTATGCATATATCTCGGCAGTCTAGATTCATGATGTTTGAACACATTTCCTTTCCTTTACGTTGTCATCTTGATAGTTCACTAATGCTGAAGTTTACCAGGCCTGCATTGTTACCCATGCTTACTGGAGTTTGCGATAACTCTTTGGAGTTGAAGGTTAGTGTTTAAATGCACAATAAATGCCTATTCCTTGCATGTTTACTGACAACTTTTATCATTTTTGGCAGGGGTTGGTGTCAAGTTTTTCTCGTCTTCAGGTACATACCTGATTTCTGTTTTCATTTTTCCAATTGTTCTCTAAAATAATCTGCCTGTAAACTCTTTTTGAGTAGCTGGTTTAGGCATCTCATTTTGGAGAATTCATGTGGTTTCTTGTTTAGGAAGTCATTTAATTTGTCATGACATATGTATTATTTTTACAGATCTTAGAGTTGTTGTGAGTTATGACACTGACATTTGAAGCTTCTCCTTTTTATTTAATCTATTTGTAATAAAAGGACATGAGTCCTTACTTGTTTAATATTGTTCTGAATGTTCTAACTGAGCTTATTTAAGAAAAAATCCCTAAGAGCATGCTTTTTGCGGATGATATAGTCCTCATGACTGAATCAAAAGAAGAGATTAACTCTAGATTGGAGTTACGTAGAAGGACTTTGGAGTCGAAAGGTTTTCGCTTGAGTAGGAACAAAACAGAATATATGCATTGCAATTTTGGGGTGAAGTAAGGCAATGGTGATTTGGAGGTGAAGATGGGAGTTCAAATCATTCATCAAGTATAAATATCTAGGATCTTTTGTACATGAGGATGGTGAAATTGATGGAGACATTTCTCATAGAATACAAGTGGGCTGGTTAAAGTGAAGGAAAGCTACTAGAGTTATTTGCGACGAAAAGGTACCTGAGAAGCTTAAGGGAAAATTTATCGGACTATTATAAGATCAGCTATGTTATACGGTAGTGAATGTTGGGCGATAAAAGGAAAACAGGAGCATAAAGTTGGGATAGCAAAAATGAGGATGTCGAGATGGATGTGTGGTCATACTAGAAAAAATAAGATCCAAAATAAAAATATTAGAGCAAGAGTCGGTGTGATGCCTATCGAAGAGAAAATAGTTGAATAGCGCTTAAAGTGGTTTGGGCATATGCAGAGAAGGGTATTGAAGGCCTCGGTGAGGAGGGCAGATCAGACAGTATGGAGTCCCATAAAAAAGCACAGAGGAAGACCGAGAAGAATGCTCAATGAGGTTATTGAACGAGACCTCGTGATCAACAACATATCTAAGGACTTGGTTGTTGATAAGGCACAATGGTAGCGTGTGATTCATATAGCTAACCCCACTTAGTGGGATAACGCTTTTTGTTGTTGTTGTTGTAATAAAAGGAAATAGAAATTTCCATATGGAGCAAAGCACAGATGATGGTGATGTTTATGTGTACGTGAAGAAGTAGATAAGAAAAGCTGTAATGGAAGTTAAAGTAATAAGGCTATTAGTTTGAGTTAGGGGAAAAAAAAAAAAGTTAGTTTGAGGCCAGAAGTCCTTTAGATACAAGCTGGAAAGCTAATGTATTTGTGGGGCCTAAAAATAGTGCCCCTTCTCTATTTGCCTTATAATTTGGTTATATCTTAATGCTCTGTTTTACCTTAGATTTACCTTGCTTAGCTTGGCTAGGTTATATTCTGTGATTGGTCTGCTTCTGGAATAGTTCAATTTGAGTGTATTCACCTCTGTTTCCTCAGTTTCCAATACATGACAAGGTTGTTATAGTACCTAGTAGTATCCAAATCACCCTGCCTTAACTCATGATAGACCCTTTTATCTATGATATGGCAGCAGTATTTTCTTGGGTGGAATAACACTTCCAGATTGCCTTCCAAGTCCCTTTAGCTGTATGGAAGACAAGAAAAGTTTGACCAATCTTAGGGGTCATAGAATTGATGAGCCATGACTTTACCATGTTGGTTTCGGCATACCAGACCTTCTATTTAGGGTTTGGTTGCAATGGTTCAGCTGCCTTTCTACGAGATATTCCTCTTTGCCTTGCCAACCGTGTACATGAGGATGCCTTGGGATCATTGTAGTAAATTGTTCCCATTGAAGCAATGATTAGTAATGGAGTTAGGTTGGGTCTTACTCATAGAAGTATGCAACAAAGAAGGATGCGATAGAGGAGCTCTATGAGTTTGGTCATTGTGAGCATTATCGTCTTTGGGCTTCTTAGGGCTGCTCAAGGTTTTCAAAGTGCGAAAGGAGCCAAGGGTTACCATGGGTCATAAAGAACTAGGTGAACTAAGATGACTTGTTGAGGCTATAATTAAGGTGTATATTTAACACGTTTATGATTTTGATGGAAACTTGGTAGTATGGGTTATTAAGTCCCATGTTGAGTAGTATGAGATGCTCAATGGGGTATTTGAGTGAGTTGGTTCTTCCATCTCAGCTGTTGACTTTTGGGGTAGGATTTTCCATCCCACTTAGGTACTAGGCACTCATGGTATGAGAGCTAGATTGTTGGCAGTTTCGGAGATGGCTACTCATAGAGGGCTCTAATTGGCAGGAGGTTAAGTGAATTGCCAAGTGGTGCAGCCTCTAAGACGTCCACTTTTCACTGGGGGCCAGCTCATAGCAACTTGTTAGTATGTGATGAGAAGTCCCACATTGAGTGGTATTAGATGCTCAATGGGGGTGTTTTAGTGGGCTGGCTCCCCCCCCCCCCCCTCAATAGCTAACTTTTTGGGTAGGGTTCCCCATCCCATTTAGGTGCCCACCGTATTTGTTATTTTAATAATATAAATATGTTATTTTAACTTTGCATATGCTAGGTAATTTTAACTATTATATCTTCTGCTCATATGTTAGAAGAGATATCTAAGAATTAGTAGAAAAATTTGATGCCTGAGATCCTAGGCTCAGGGTTAGGTGTCTGCTTATATTAAGACCTTTGTATTCAGTTTTTGATTATGGAATAAGAAAATACAGAGGTGCACTACAGCTCTGACTTCTACACAACCATAAATGATTTGAGATAAGGAGCCGGAGCAGATGATATAGCACTATAGGCATTTCCAAGCCTGCCTATGACAATAACTTTGTTGTAGGTTTCCCAAGTTGATTAAGGATTGTGTGGAATCCCACGGGAAAAAAAAAAAAAAACTGATTGTGTGGAATAAAGAGGCAAGTAACACAGTTGGGCTGCTGTTAAAACAGCATGGTATAACTAGTTGCAGGACACCATTGACAAAAGTGTAATTTGACTTAAGGAGTTGTACAAGATTTTGTTCAAAGTCTCAAAATCACTTGCAGTGGACTAGAATATATTTGCAATTTGGGGAATAATAAAACTTGTGATTCATGAGTTCCCTTTGAATTTCCAGTTTCATTTTGAGGGAATCTTGTGCATTTTCTTTGACGAATCCAACAGTTTCATGAATGATTTTTAATTAATGGGACTGCAAAGTCCAGCTGAAACTGTATTTGAAAAGGCTTTATATATATATGTATATATTTATATCTCATTCCAGGTCTATAAATTTCAGTTAAACAGCTTGGTTTGTCCTGTTTTCTTGTTCAAGAACTTGTGCACAAAGTTGGTTATTTTAAATGTTTTTGATATTTTAGTAATATTGTGGCAATTACAAGGCACAATCTGCTAATATCAGGTCATGTGCCCAGGTTATGTTTTGATCTGACGCTGATTGCTTGTTTCTAATTTGTCTAGATTCTTCCCATTTGGTCCTTGCGATGCCCGCCTTGTCCCCCACAATGGTGAGCTTACATGAATAACTTTACTCGTCATTGTTGTATCTTCATTCCTTTTATTGCTTCCATAGAGTTTGGCTAACTGCTTCCTGTGGTTCCAGAGCCAAGGTAATATTGCAAAATGGCGAAAAAAAGAAGGAGATAAGGTCAGTTAGGAAATAGTTCCTTCATGGTTGCAAGTTACATCTCTGCTTGTCTTCATGTCTTTGGATTAGAGATTGAAGTGGGTCATGTTGTCCTGGGTGCTAATTAATGCAACAGATTGAAGTCGGTGATGTGCTATGTGAAATTGAGACTGATAAAGCTACGCTTGAATTTGAAAGTCTTGAAGAGGGGTAATTCACTTGTTTTTCACCCTTCCGACTCTTTTTAATGTTTGTTACTGGATGGCTTTTTTGCTTTTGATATTCTGGTAAATTGACATCTTTGCTTCACATTGACAAATTGGAAATATCCTTGAGGTAAACACATGCGTAAAGAGAGAATAGACTTGAGAGACCACCGGATTAAGGATTAATGTTTCAGCAGTCTGATGGGACTTTAAAGTACAGATGCAGTTGGAAGCTTGATTCAAATCGATCTAAGTGATGTAGGAGAAGAGTAAACTAAAGAGAGAATACCAAAATTCACAGAAAATCTCAAAATCAAAATATCATAGGACTAAATAAGAACTGTGAATGAGATTCAAATACGAGTAGCTGATATCCCAGTCCCAAAATACTACGATGGGAGGGCATATCCTTGCAATTAAATAACAGTTGCTGAGTGAAATCTCAGAAATGGATTTTGTATTCTTAAGACATCCTTTAGCCTGACATTCTGTTAGGCTTGAAGTTTGAACAAAAAAATGGCTACAGCGGTCAGCATTTCTTAGTGCTGATTATTGTACTACGTCAACTGAAACTTCATAAACCGACTTCAAACAAGATTATCGGAATTGTTGATGAAATGATTCTCGTGGTCCAGTATACCTGATTTATATTGAGCCTAGAGCAATGAACAGATAACCATATGCGTGTCAATGCAAACTATTCTTTTTGGTATGATGATTGAATTATTCCTGCAGATTTCTGGCTAAGATATTGGTACCGGATGGGTCAAAGGATGTGCCTGTGGGACAACCAATTGCAATAACAGTAAGCCAGTCTGAAGTTTGATTGCTGCATTATTGATGTTTTACATTAACTGATCAGTATTTGATTTAAATTTAAATCGTATTGCAGTCTGTAAACCTAATCTGATGTACTGTTTTGGTTAATTAATTCTGTTGTCCTATGAAGGTTTCTTTATTGAAGATCTTATTTTGTAGCTTGCTAAAATTAACTTTGAGCATGTCATGCTTTGGTGGTTCCAACGTGAAACCAAGCACACAATTTGTAGTCTTCTATGCATTCATTAGGAGTATATGTATATTTATTTTATTATTTTATTTATCTGTTTTTTTTTTCTTTTTTCTTGTGTTCCTACAATGCTAATTAACTACTTCTCTAGTCACTCATTGTTCCTTTAGATCTAAATTCAAAATCAGATTTCTTTTCACAACTTCTTGGCGTGGATCCAGTTAATTTCCATCTGCATGAAAGGAACTTTGATACATTAGTATAAACAATAAACTTGCAAATTGGATACTGGATAGTACAAGTTATAATCTATGGTTTATATGTTTTTAGATGGGTAGATCATATTTTTTAAGTCATCCCATGACGTATCAATTTTTTTTTTTTTTTTAAAAATCATGAAGACTTGGGTAATCTCAATGATGTTTTTATTTCAAACATTTGCTCAGCATAAGAACTAATTATGAGCCTTGACCAGGTTGAGGATCCAAATGATATCCAAAATGTTCCTGCTTCGGTGGGGGCTGAGGTAGGAGCCAAGGAGAAAAAATCTACCAACCAAGAAGTTAATCATGACGAGAGGACACCAGAATCAACTTCCGCTAAAATAAACACATCAGAACTCCCTCCTCATATCCTTCTTGAAATGCCAGCTTTGTCCCCAACAATGGTGAGATTGGTTTGATGCTGCTACATTTTACTACTACTGACCTAGATTTTATTTCCTTCCATTGGGATGTTAATTTATAATTTCTGTACAGAACCAAGGAAACATTGCTAAATGGAGGAAAAAAGAAGGAGACAAGGTTAGGATTGTTTGAATGTCAGGTTTTCAGTCAGCTTTTAATTTTCTGTTGGATTTGATAATATTTGAAATTGTGAAGGATGTTGATACTCGTTAACATCTTTCTTGTCGTTTGTAACTCCTGAACACATATTTGATGGCTTTGACAGATAGAAGTGGGTGACATATTATGTGAGATAGAGACGGACAAAGCTACCCTTGAATTTGAGACTCTTGAAGAGGGGTAATAAAGCTTTACGTAGCATAACATATTAACTTCTAAATAGTTTGATATCTGTTAAGGCAATATCCATGCTATATGTCACGCATTTAGCTTTCTGCTGCAATTTTCATCCATCTTTTCGCTTAGATGCTCCATTGGAATAATGTGTTGTTGTAGTGAACACTTGACTATTTAAGTAACTTATAAACCTGTTAGTAATATGTCTGACATGTCACTCAATTGTTTAGAACCGTTATGTTTTGATTGAAAAGGAATCATTGAATTTCATCAAGCTGCATAAATAAGTTTGACAAAAGTAAGACTCAGAATGGAGTCTTTGGAAGAATAATCTAATCTTGGATTACATGGTAGATTATAATAATCTCATTATGTAGTTTTTTTCTTTTTGGGCCTGAATCGTATTATGTAGTTTGTCATCTTGTATTCAAGATCTTGAATTGCTGGCCCTTATGCATAAATCATGCATTGGAGTTTGTACATTTAACATAAGGTGTATTTGCACTCTTTTTTTGTTCTTTCTATTACGTTTTTGATTTTTCTAAAACAAGAAAAAGACTCAAAGAAAAAGAAAAGAAAAGAAATTGACGCTAGCTTTGGTGTAATGTGTATTCTAGATATCTAGCTAAGATATTAACCCCAGAGGGTTCAAAAGATGTGGCAGTGGGACAACCTATTGCAATAACAGTAAGTTTGATTTCATAATGCTTGTTTAATTATTTAGCTTCTGGAAAATCTAGTTAGATCTGTCTTTTGTTTTAATTATTTACTTTAATGTTGGGCTTTCTTTTATGTAATTTTAAATTTGGCTTCATTTTATTTTATTCTATTTAGGCTTAGCTATTATTTTAATTATTGAATTATTGGAGATTGAATTACTCCCTCTAGCCCTAATTATAGGTCAAAGTTAACTACATGATTCCTAAGGAGTAGTGGTTGATCTCTTTAAACTTGTAGAAAAATGTGTTACTTTCCAGTTATGCCCATGCTAACTTGTTGCAATCAAGGAGGGGCAAGATAGGAAAATTTTTTTAACTCTCACATCTTTGCCCTATATTTAGAATCAAGTAGGGCCTTAAAACCTAGCCCCATAATTAGGGCCAGAGGGAGTATTGAATTAGGGGCTTAATATATAGCCCTAGGGTACTTGCGTGAAATATTTTCTGTCGACTTTCTCCCCCACTCTTGTTTTCCCTTTATCTCCACTCCCTCCTTCTCCCTCTCCCCTTTTCCCAGTTTCCTCCTTCATTAGGATTTTGTGGTTAGCCAAAGTGAAACATGTATGTTGATGACAAAGGTCCAAAGTTTTGTTAACTTGTTCCGCAATTTGAATTACAGAACCCTCTGACCGAATGACAGCTATTTATTTGCCTGTTTTATGACAAAGCTACCCTTTATTTTCATCCTGCAATGTACTGGAATACATGCAAGTACTTATGCTTCTTTTAACTAGGTTGAAGATGCATCTGATGTTGAAGCGGTAAAGAATTCAGTCAGGAGCAGTTCTGCAAGCCAACAGGAGAAGACCACTCACCATGACACTAGAAGTGAGGGTGGAGCACAGAAGACCAATGCAAGAAGAATTAGCCCAGCTGCAAAGTTGTTGATCCTAGAACATGGATTGGATGCATCCACATTGAAAGCATCTGGTCCTTATGGAACCCTCCTAAAAGGGGATGTTCTTTCTGTTATTAAGTCTGGAAAAATATCTCCGCAACTTGCATCTAAGGAAAACGCACCATCGTCTCAAAGTCATCAACAGGTTGCTGCATCACAAGACTCTAAGTCTCCTTTAAAGCAATCGGATGCTTTTGAAGATTTGCCAAATAGCCAAATCCGTAAGGTAGATCCATTGAATTCAGTTAAAAATGGATGTGGTTCTTTTTCAATTCTTGCTTCTTCTTTATATTATATGTATTTGTGCTGATTTTTCAAAAAAAAAAAAAAAACTTTTTTAGAGAGATGTTGATTCTAAGGGGAAAATAATTCTACCAGAAATGCTATATCATAGTGAGTGTTAGGCTTTAAAGGGACAACATGAGCATAAACTAGGGATAGCTCAGATGAGGATGTTGAGATGGACATGTGGTTACGTAAGAAGGGATTTCTAAGGCCATATATGAGGAAGAGTTGGAGTGGCCTCTGATGAAGAAAGATGGCTGGTAATTTTTCATTAGATCCCTCCCTCACGTAACTTGGTGGTTTTTAAGGTCTTTTTTTAATCAAAGCCTTCAATTCTTCATCAATTGTCTCTTTCCATCTTGGGTTTGCAATTGCTTGTCAAAAGATGGCTTATAATTTTTCATTAGAGATGCTTGCTACAAAGCCTTGTAGACTAGGTGATGAATGTTCATAAGTAATGAAATTGCTTATTGGATGCAAAGTGCACTTCTTTGCCGCTTTCATCAAAGCTATTCGCCAATTGAGATCCTTAGAAATGGGACCTGGATTTGATTCTTGGCATTGCTTAGGATTTATGAGTCTCAATAGTGGGTTCTTCAACATCTGGTTCTTTTTGCTGGATGAACCTTTCTTGGTTTTCGTTAATAAGTGACCATATTTTTATGGGAAAATTACGCACCGGTCCCAAAGATGAGACTTTATTCATCTAGGGTCCCATGAAATGTCAAAATTACTAGCAGGTCCCAAGGGGCCTTAGAATATTATATTCTAATTGTAAAATGACATCACTGCCCCTCAGATTCCCAATTCACATTTTCTCTGCCATTGTGATTGACAACCTCAGCAGTGACTATTAACAACCCAATGAGAAGGTGTTGACAACCTCAGTAGTATCCGTAGACAACTTATTTTGTAGGATTACATAACCTCTGCATAAGAGTAAATTATAACCAAATAGTATAATACGACAATTTTAACATTGAAATGGGAAGCTTTTTGAAACCATTAAGAACTTTAACTAAACCCAATAGGATTATAGCGAAATTTTAATGCGAAGATCTATTGACAACCTCAATAGTGAGTATTAATAACCTAAGGAGAGTTGTTGACAGCCTAGGCAGTGTTTGTTAACAGCTGATTTTATAGGATAGTAGAATCTCTGCATAAGATTAAATTATAACTAAATAGTATAACATAACAATTACATAAGATCAACTTTAACACTATTTAGTTATAATTTAGTTAGTTATAGTTGTTAAAGGTTATATTATCCTATAAAGTCAGTTGTTAATAGACACTGCCTAGGTTGTCAATAGCTCTCTTTGGGTTATTAATATTCACTATTGATGTTGTCAATGGATCTCTGCATTAAAATTTTGCTATAATTCTATTGGGTTTAGTTAAAGTTCTTAATGGTTTTGAAAGTTTCTAATTTCAGTGTTAAAGTTGTTGTATTATAGTATTTGGTTATAATTTACTCTTATGTGGAAGTTATGTGATTCTATAAAGTAAGTTGTCAGCGGATATTGCTTAAGTTGTCAATGCCTTCTTATTGAGTTGTTAACAGTCGCTGTTGAGGTTGTCAATCGCAATGACAGAGAAAACGTGAATTGAGAATTTGAGGGGCAGTGATATCATTTTACAATTAGAATATAATACACTAAGGTCCTTTGGGACCTGTTAGTAATTTAGAAATTTCATGGACCCTAGATGAATAAAGTCTCTTCTTTGGGACCTGTGTGTAATTTTTCCTATTGTTATCTGCAAGCTTACCTGCAACCCTCGTTTCAAAGTAATCCCCTTCCAACTGTCTTTTGCGCTGTAGGGGCTGTTTCAGGGTTAGGAATTATTGGTAGATTAGGTTCAGGTGTAGAGGTTCAATGCTGAACATTCACTACGGTATGGTTTTTATAATTAGTTTTAGAAGGGTTGTGTTCATAAAATAGGGTCTTAGCAGCAGTCATATGGTTTGAAACACGTTAATTATGCAAGTTATGTCATTCGGTGTATTTGTATGAAATGCATTAGCAAAACTTGTTTTGTCTCTAGTTCCAGTTGCAATGTTGGAATTTGATATAGCTGCTATAGCTGCTGGTTTTAAGAAGACATATAAGAGGAGAGTTGGTAGGAGGTTTGGTGAACAACTGAGGGTAGAAGATGGGGAATATGCTGAAGCTCCAGAAAAGGGGGAACAACTCTAATGTGCAGCTAGCTACTAATCTTTTGGGTCTAAATCCTTGTATAGGGGTAGGACTAATTTTTTGGGTTTAATACGTGTTGTGGGGGTGGCATTGAGGGCAAGGATTAATTCTGGAAAAACCAGTTGTGAGGAGAGACCTGGCCTCTCGAATGCCATGGGGAGTCGCTGGGTTGAGCTATAATCCTTGCATTACTAGTGTTCTTTTGTATTGGTGATTACTGTGTATTATTCCGTACATTAGGAAATAGGGCTTTGGCTTGAATCAGGGAAGCTGAATGTATCTTTGATTCAATTCTGAATTATTAATATCAAAGCCTCAGTATTTTCCTCTTCTAGTATTGTTCTGTTTTTATTATTATTGTTGGCTGGGACACTGGATGGTTGAAAGTTGAAACAGGGTCACAACAGAATTAAACGAGGAGTTTTGACTAAATTCTGGCAGCCAATGAACCTTAGGTAAAGAAGGATGCTCCAGTGGTTCCTTTTGGAACCGCAGAGAGGTATTCTTTAAGGTGGACATCACTCTAAATATTTAGCCAAGACAGAGGAGAAGCAGGGAAAAATAAAACTCTAACAACTATGCATAAAATCATATCTGAAATCAAATAATGTTTGACTAAATTTGAATTTCAAACTTATTCCTTATCTGAACAACGCGGATTCCACAGTGACTAATGAATTGGTTAAATATACCACATTTTGGATCTAGGCACTGATAAATTTGGTTTACCATTTTCAACTTTTCAGTGGTTCTCATCTTGTGGTAGAATTTAATCTCTGCTCTCTCATTCAAATGATAATTGTGACCAAACTGATATTTAATAGAACTTCATTGCTGCAACTTGCCATAATATAAAATGACTTTTCTGCAAATATCCTAACACTCTGCAGGTGATTGCCAAGAGGTTGTTGGAGTCTAAACAAAATACGCCTCACTTGTATTTGTCGTCAGGTTTTGATTCTCATGCTCAACATATTTGTGCCGATGAAACTGTATTTGCATAAATTGACTAAACCATATGATTTTTTTATGGTATATATCAGATGTTATACTGGACCCACTTCTTTCTCTTAGAAAAGATCTCAAAGGTTTGGACTTTTAAACTGTCTTGCTCTTGATAATAGGATATATGCATTGGTCATGTTCTTTATTTTCTCCGATTGAATGCAGAGCAATATGGTGTTAAAGTTTCGGTGAATGATATTGTCATCAAAGTTGTAGCCGCTGCTCTCAAAAGTGTAACGGAAGCAAATGGTAAGTAACCATTTTCTTTAACTTTTTCCTATAATTCAAATCAATTGATCTTTTATCGAATAATTTGGAGGATGGGTTCTCTTGATTTCTATTCACAAGAATCAATACAACTTGTAGGGGAAAGATAGCAACGTTCCTGCTATTCAATCCCAATGAATCAGCAACTATAAATGCTGGAAATTATGAAAATAAAAATCACTCAGAATCTGGGATAATAAGGTCAGAATATTTACGAGGAAGTAATCACAAAAATCAAAGTCTAGTGAAATATAAAGAGAACTGCAATAATCAGAGTTGTGCAGTTGCTTTTGCTTGCTTTGTATGGATAAATATGGGTATACTATAGATTCATAGAGTGGGTTACACATAGGGAAGGCCAGCTACAATTTTACCAGAAAGGAAATAAATAGGGACATTGTTGTAGAATAGTAATTAGGAATTAGAGGGAAAGAGGGGGAAGAAGGAGAATGAGGGAGAAGACACAGAGTAACGGAGGGGGGGGAAGAGAGAGAGAGAGAGATAGAAAGGAAACTCTATTCCATCCACTTGTTACTCTTCACGATTCCAAATACAGCCTCCCAATCCCCTCTATTTATAGGCTCAAGGACTTGTCAACCAATTCTTACTAACTTCCTTTTATTACAATTACCTATCAATACCCCCCGTCCTCCCCCAAAGGGACCGTTGCCCTTCAGGGTCAAGTAGATCAAGGAAATTTGCTTGTCACTCTTTGAATTGAACCGTGCTCTATTGAAATTTGCGATACTGAAATCTGATTCTATTAATCTGCAGCCTACTGGGATGCTGAGAAGGGTGAGGTTATTTTATGTGAGTCCGTTGACATATCAATTGCCGTGGCTACAGAGAAGGTAAATACTTGCGTTACATTTGTTCATAATATTTTACAAATCATTGAACTTTTTTCGTGACTGTAGGGCTTGATGACACCAATTGTTAGGAATGCTGATCAGAAGACAATATCTTCGATCTCCACAGAGGTAGCTTAAAAATAGTGTTTTTTGAGTAATGACGTCAGAATTGCCCCTTTATGTTGGTGTTTATATTTGGCATTATAGTATTGTTTAGTGAATGAAGATAATAGAGACTAGGGTTTTTGTTGATTTTTCTCGATGAACAATTTACTGATTGATTGGTCTTTCAGGTCAAGGAACTGGCAGAAAAGGCACGCTCTGGCAAGCTAATGCCACATGAGTTCCAAGGAGGAACTTTTAGGTGAGTTTGCTATGGATATTGTCATACAGATCTTGGTTAAATCTTAGCCTGGCATCATTAATTTCTCATGCCCAAAACTGTAATTTTGAGCTTTTGACTCTGCCGGGTTGCAGCATTTCAAATTTGGGAATGTTTCCTGTGGATCAGTTCTGTGCTATAATAAATCCCCCACAGGTTCTTTCTCTTCTCTTCCACTCCCCCCCACCTTTTCTTTGCCCATGCCAAACACATTATCACACGGACCTACCTTTTGATGGCAAACCAAGGATTGTTTCTTAACTCTTCATTATTTTGTTATTATTTGGTGCAGGCTGGCATTCTCGCTGTTGGTAGGGGTAACAAAGTTGTGGAACCTGTAATGGGAGCTGATGGTATAGGATATGTTTATATATTACTCAATACTTAATTCTGAATTTATGAGTTGTTTTCACTTAGTAGTGTTTTGCCAGGAATTGAGAGGCCATCCGTTGTTACTAAGATGAACTTGACCTTGTCTGCTGATCATCGCGTTTTTGAAGGCAAAGTTGCAGGTACATCTGATTAGCACACTTGAATTAGCTTGTAATCCTATATCTACTGTTGCAAAAGTTATTGTCTGTGTCCAAAACTAATCATAAACTAGACTGGCCGTGCTTTTTATTTTCACTGCAGTGGATGTCTTCCACTTGTTACTAGTGTAAAATCTACGAGGCTTAGTTTTTATTTGAGCGGAATCTTAATTAGTTTAATCTCTCCTTGTCTTTAGTTGCTCAAATTTAATTAGACTAGCACTAGAAGCCTCAAATTGCTTTAATCAAGAGGCCTAAATCCAGTTTGTGCATGAAATGTTAGCTCATTGACAACAAGTTTTTTTTTTTTTTTTTAATTGTATAAACTACAGAATTTGGAGATTGATTAACGGCAATAATGTGACAATGTTCTTGAGTTTTTTGCAGGAGCATTTCTGTCAGCTCTGCGGTCAAACTTCAGTGACATAAGAAGACTTCTTTTATAATACATAAAAGAATTGTTCTTGTGATTTGATGGGCCGACTTAAGATGCAGTTTAACTTAGTCTGCATCCTCCGCAATCCAAGTATTAATCTTCCATGGCATCCCCATTTTTGCCCTCTTCATTCTCTACAGCTCAAAATGTGGCCCGTTGTTGTGCCATTTTTTTTTAAAAAAATTTTATTCCTTGTTCTATTGATTAAAAAAAAAAAAACCCTCGTCTCATGACCAAGCATTCCAAGAAATGACCTTGTTTGGAGGGTTTAACCATTGAGGTTTCAACCTGAGATTTTGTCCTTCAGATACTGCTGCCCTTTGAAGCTGTATAAATAATTGTGTACGGTCAACGGCAGAAGCAACAGAGCAATTGAGTTAATAAATGATTAGTGATTCTTTTTTTTTTTGCTGATCATAACTGTATTGCTGTGTATTATACGTATTGCAGTTGTGATTGAAAGTTCCTATGATCCTTACGTATAGAGTCAAAATTAGCAAGAGTATAAACTAGGAAAAATCGCAAAAAAAAAAAAAAAAAACCTTAACAATTGAAAAATTGCATACAAGGTCTTATTCACAAAAATTATTGTCATTTGCTTATTAATTGTCAAAACTAGTACTAATGTTGTAACAATTTTCAATTTGCAATTTTTCTATTTTTAAGGTTTTTTTTTTTGTGATTTTCCCTATAAACTATAAAGATGTTTTTTTTTTTGGGCAATCTATTTTTGACTCTTTTCTTGCATATAATCTCAAGATTATCACTTTGTCAACCTTTGTTTTAAGAAATGAGTGGAGCATTTAATCACTTATAAGAGTGAAGCTTAAAGATGATAGATTGATTTCTTTTTGGTTAAGAATTCGGATAGAAGACTGTGTACAAATTGTAAAGTGATCTTTAGGGATGGGGTGAGTGTCTTGATATGCATTTTGAGAGTATTAGACAAAAGTATTATTAAGTAGTTAACTCTGGTCAGGTGGTGGCAATTAAAGGGTGAGAAGAGAGGGTTTTACAAAAAGACTTTTTTGGAGGAAGGGATCTGGGAGTTACAGGGAATTGTTAACATCATGTGGGAGGATATGACCTCGTGATCAAAGAAATAAGGAGACTTGGTAGTGGGAGAAGATTGTAAAGGAGGAAGTCAGACAGAAAAGAGATTGTTTCAAATTCATGCATTTGTGTAATAATGCAAAAAACTGGAAAAAGTATCGTTTGGCTAAAAAAGAAACGAAGAGAGCAGTGAGTGAAGCATGTTTTAATATATATGTGGAGTTTTATAAGGAGTTAGGAACAAAAGCAAAGAAAAGAAATATTTACAAGATTACGAAGCAGAGAGAGAAGAAAAAGAAGGATTTGGATCAAGTGAGATGTGTAAAAGACGAAGAAGGTGAAGTTCTAGTTACTGATAGAGATATCTAGTTACTAATAGAGATATTAAGAATAGATGAGAGACTTATTTTTACAGGCTCTTTAATGAGGGAAACAAATGTGCGACTCGGAACTTGGAAGACTTGCTAATTAGCGAAGAGGATCGGAATTTGGTTTTTTACTGCAGGACCCACATTGGAGAGGTTAAGGTGCTCTTAAAAAAATGGACAATGGTAGCTGTTGGACCTGACTGTATTCCTATTGAAGTTGAGAAATTTTAGGCAATGAAGGTGAATTATGACTGATTAAGCTTTTTAATAAAATTTTATGCTCCAAGCATGTATCGGATGAACGTAGGAAAATCATTTTAGTTCCTATTTACAAGAACAAAAGAGATATTCAAAACTGTGCATGCTACAGAGGGATAAAACTTATGAGAGATATAATAAAGTCATGAGAAAAGGTCATTGAACATAGGTTGAGGTTGGAGACATCTATTTCTAAGACCCAATTTGGATTCATGTTGGGGAGATCTACATCAGAAGTAATTTATTTACTAAAAAGGTTAATGGAAAGATACATATGGTTTTCATTGACTTGGAAAAAGTATATAATCATGTGCTAAAAGAAGTTCTTTGGAAAGCTTTGGAAAAGAAGGGTATGCGGATTGCATATATCAAAGGCATACAAGTATATATGAAGGGGTAACTACTAATATAAGAACGTTTGGAGGTGAGACAAAGGAATTCCCTGTTAAAATTGGCCTAAACCAGGGATATTCTTTGAATCTTTACTTTTTTAATATTATTCTAGACATTCTAACTGAGCTTATGCAAGAAAAAATTTCTTAGTACATGCTTTTTGTGAATGACATAGTTCTCATAGCTAAATCAAGAGAAGAGATTAACTCTAAATTAGAGTTATGAAGAAAGATCTTAGAGTCAAAAGGTTTTCGCTTGAGCAGGAGGAAAACAGATTACATGGATTACAATTTTGGGGAGAGACAAGTCAATGACGATTTGGAAGTGAAGATGAGAGATCAAATCATACCTCAAGTATCAAAGTTCAAATATTTAGGATCAATTATACATGAGGATGATAAAATTGATAAAGACGTTTCTCATAGAATACAAGCTGAGTGGTTAAAGTGGAGGATGACTATCAGAGTTATTTGCGATAAGAAGGTACCCGATAAGTTTAAGAAAAAATTCTATTAGACTGCTATAAGACTAGCTGTATTGTATGGTATTGAATATTGGGCAATAAAGGAAAAACGAGCATAAAATTGGGGTAGCAGAAATGAAGATGTTGAGATGAATGTGTGGCCATACAAGAATGATAGGGTTCGAAATGAAAATATCAAAGTAAGACTAGGTGTGGCACCTATCAAAGAGAAAATGGTTGAAAATTGCTTGGAGTAGTTTGAGCATGTGCAGATAAGGTCATTGGAGGTGCCAGTGAAAAGGGTAGATCAGACAGTTAGGAATCCCATAAAACAGGGTAGAGGAAGATTGATGAGAACACTCAATGAGATCATTGAATGAGACCTCATGGTCAACCATATATCTAAAAACTTGGTTGTTGATAGAGTCGTGTGATCAATGTAGCTGATCCCACCTATTGGGATAAGGCTTGTTATTTTTGTTATAGTACCATTATCATTATACAAATTTATTATTATTATTATTATTCATGGAAAATTTTAAATATCATTCTTTTAATTTTGATCATTGCAGAAAGGCTGGTTAATTGATAATTGGTTTTAAAAATCTTAATGGATTTAGTAAGAATGTTTAAAAAAACTGACTTAGTGGATAAGCTTATCTTATTCTTGTTCGTTAGTCTAGATTTCGTAGTTTGACAGTGGAAGTGCAATTTCTTTATTTTAATTGAAATTTATTCATTTTTGTTCTTCTATTTCATATGTCTCTGTTTTTCTTTTCTTTCAAGAGCTTTCTAGGTTGAACACGAACCTCAAGGTAATCTGGCTGAGTAATTGCCACGTTTCTTGCCCACGTGTTATAAACAACCTTGGACTGTTGATAGAGTAGGACAACATTGAATCGTTACTTTTTTACACTTTCAGGATAATAAGCATTGTGTCCCAAAAGAAAAAAAATTCAGATTTAATTGTTCCTTCGTGAATATTTTCCAAAAGTTGACCCTTAGCCTAATATTCTTCTAGTACACCAATGCAACAAATCATTTATACAACCAAACCAAACCTTCCTCTTGCAGCTCATAGTCAAAGGGTCGCCTCACTTGTTTCATCTGACAATTTTTTTGGTCACGTTGGTTATAAATGGATATATTATCTTTAGTCCTAAATATAAGATTTAATTTATAATAAATTATAAATCAGATCTAATATTTAGGATTGAAAGTAATATGTATATAAACATATATGAAAAGTATCCATCCTAGTAGTCTCAAACTTCTCTGCATAGCTCATCAAAAGCATCAAGCTTGAGGAGTTAAATTGAGGTCGCTTACTTAACGCTTTTCTGATGTGGAGAGAAAAAATTGAAATTGGAATCATTAACATAAGATCTCAATCTATTTTATCTCTTATATTTATTTATTTTTTCTCCCAAAGTCTTTGTGATAATAGTAATTCTAACTAATATATTTGATTAGCGAGAGTATTTTGAAAAAGACATCTATTTATTACAAATAACTAACTTAACTAATTTTCTTAATTTACTTAAATTAGTCAACTAACTGTTATATTAATCTTTTAGATTAAAGACCGGAGCTAGTAAAAAGCAAAATTTAGAGTAAGTTGTGCTATTTACAAGTCAAAAGACATTAATTCGTTCTTCACATTTTGTAAAATATTTGAAAAATGTGTCTAACTTAAAAAGTAACACATCGTTGATCAACTCTTATTTAGCTGATTCGTTGTCAAACTTCTCAAGAATTCGTGGCAAGATCTAATAATTAATGCTCCTAATAATGAATTTCAAAGGACGAGGAATTAAAATGAATGATGAAATTTCAGGATTATGACTATTGATATATTTCGAATAATTAACTTTTCTATAAAAATTAAAATGGGTTATTGCTCTATCATTTTATTTTCAACTGCAAATTTTATTTATTTAACCACTTTCTAATCCCTACAAAACATGAACTCTTCCAAACTATTTTATCTCTAGGAAATGTAAAAGAGATCTTATAACAAGTTGATCTCTTTAATATAATTCATTCGATGATTTATTAACAACCAATAATTGACAAATGAAAATTGCGGGAATGACATTTAGGTCCCAAAAATCAGTTTAATGTTATTAGGTCCCAAAAACTTTCTAAAAGGAGAGTTATAAATATATTTTCATTCATATAATAGCAAACTTAAAAGCAAAGTACTAATTGAATTATGTTTAATCTCTTGTTTTGATAATAACGAAACTAAGGAAAGAATTGATTGAAATTATCTATGCAACTTAGTTGAACGATTAAAATAATATAATTTAACTAAGATATACACAAATATTTATATATAACCTTGAAAAACTATTATTGAAATAAAAATACATTACTTTACAAGCAAATACAACGTTTAAGCATAAATCACACATAATTCAGTAATGCTATGCTTAAAAGTCTTAGTCACAAATTAGGCATTTTAATCTCATAAATTATTCTTAGTGATTTGTAACTAAGAACTATAGAATTATTAATATTTAAATCAATATTTGCAACGTATTTGTCATAAAAAAATTTTAGGAACCTAATTATTATTAAATCCAACTTATAGTTCGCGTTAGGGGTCATTTTTCCCTCGTGAAGATCCCAATCAGATACTACCTCTTGTTATTAATATAATACCTAATTGACTAATTTAGAGACAATAAGAGAACTCAATAAATTACTTTATAGTATATATATTTATTGTTTTTTTCCAAATTAATATGCTTGACTTATAAACTAATATATAATTTAGTATTTCAGAAAGATTATGTAACATATACTATATTTAAATTATTTATTTAGTTTTTTTAATATTTTAAAATTAATTAATTGGATTTTATATTAAAGATGAAAGGTAGTACATCATCAATATTGAGTTCATTGACTAGTAGTTGAGGTTAGGATAAGATCAAGGGTG